AAGATCCCTAGGATCCTCTGAGGAGGATTTCATTTTTTAATCTTTTTTGCATTGATGAAGCTCTCACTACTTGTTATTCATGTTTATGTTTGAACTTCTCAAACAAGAAGACAAACTAGAGTACTTCATTTGACAATTTAAACCCTACTGGGAATACAGACATGCTGTAAATGTGCGTTAAGGACCTTGGCTCCAGCACCGATCCTTTGTTTTCCATCGACTGATTAAACAAATAACCTATTCTATATTTTTAGCTTGAGTTACAGTGTTAAATTTTCATGCTTTTGCACAGAACTTGTTAAATTATAATACAGCTGCTGTTTTTTGATGGTGACTGTGATACGATACAGAAGTGTCATGGAGAATGAGCTCATGTTTTGCTGCATGTCAGCACTCTTCAGCAGGTAAAAAGAGTCTGCAAAGAAAGGATAAACGGTGTTTGCCTGTCTGTGCTTTCCATAGGCAGCTTGATTGAAGCAGATGCTCTGCATTTGGGCTGCACTGAAGGTTTGCAGAGATTTGTCAGGTGTCTGAATTTCACATGCAAATAAAGTCAGCTGTTTAGCATGGCAGCATTGCTGAAACAGAAAGAATTACTGCTCATCGTTTAACTGCTCCTGGTCCCACGGGTCAAATAAGTGTGTTGCCACACGTCTGCAGAGCCGTAACTGATCATTGAAGCAGATTAACTTTCATTAGTGGGAAAAAATGAGCAATGATTTATGTTTATTAGATCCTATCATTTTTATAAAGTACTTTAAATGTAAAAACTAAAACCTTAAGTGTGTACACAGAATTCTTTACAACGTAAAAAACATAATCTTATAATTAGATTAATTTCTACTCCTGCACAAAACTCTTCAGCATAACATCTGTTCATCTTCATTTATTGCGAATTTATGTGAAACAATTAGCCTGTTATGTCGTACGGTTAATTACCGTTGGCTGACATGCAGCCCGGTAACGGGTGCAGACAGGTGCTGCATGAAGTTTCTTTTTTTAGCCTTCACACCACGTATCTTTGACATGCAAATTACTCAAGATGTATTAAGTCCTGTCACAATAACGATTTTCTCCAATGCACTGACAAACTCCAATGCCAGTTGGGAACTGCACTAAGTCCCGTTCATATGTGGAAATCCTGGAATACACCTGCCGGGAGGAAAATATTAGACTTTCTACTCTGAGGAAAGCAACTTGTCATCTTCACGGCGACTGACACTAGAGTGTCAGGCTGACGTGGTGTGAAAATAAATCTGCCTTTTTTGCCCCCACATTGTACCTGCTAATAGTCACAACAATTAAACAGCTTTACACGCTGCTGAGTTCTCAGCTGAGCACATGTTTGGTGTCATAGCTGAGAAAATCACTTGCCAGGCAGAGAAACACAAGCTTCTTGTTCACTTTGCTGCAGGAAAACCTCTTTGAAAGGATGCTCTTTGTTCACCAGAGCAGGGAGCTAAAAATAGACACGCTACGGACCTGAGATGTGCAGATCTTAGCCAATCTGTATATTGTACTCATATAATCTAGAATGCCATTATTGTTAGGTTTTGTCAAAAATAATAGCAAAATATTTCAAAGCGTGCAAATGAATTATTTTTTTCTACAAATTTAATCTTTAAATATTCTAAATCCCAGGGACAGGATGTATAAATACTCACAGGAAAGCTTTGCCAAAAACAATCAAGCAAAAATATCCTACTATATAAAAATAGACAATAAAGGTTCTCATCTACACCGTCCTTCCTGTCTTTCCTCTATAAATGACCTCTACTGGTTTTATGTCATGAATGGTTACGTGTGCTTTTAAAACATTCCCCTTCACAAACAGCCTCTCTCCCATTAATCTATATTCCCTTACATGATGTCCTGTTTTTCTGTGGCTTGCTAAGGAAACCATCTCCAGGTTCCAGGAGGCTCGCTGACTTCCAGCGTGTCTCCATGAATACATTTCAAAATATGCTACGACTAATCGGGCTAGAACCAATACCACACATACCAAACACGAACCCCACCAACAGACATTCAAATCATATTCTGTATTTTTCCTCTTCTTCTTCAACCTTTTCTGATCCAATCAGATATGTGACATAGATTTCACATATGATGTCCGTGAATTTTAAAGACACACTATAATGCCAAGAAAGCTTATTTTCTAAGCAGCAAAAGTAACTTTAGGCCAGCGGTACTCAATAGACGGCCCGTGAGCCAGGTTTGGGCTCGTGGGCCACCTATTGAGTACCGCTGACCGCGGGCGACCTCTTTGTGGTCTCCGAACCATGCCAACGAAGAACAGTGTTTTTGGCAACACCAAAAACTGGATGGTCCAGTCGTTGTTTTTGGATTAAGTCGCATTATTGGTGGTTTGTTGTTTTTAGACAAATGAACCGCTTTTTTTATCTCCACAAAATATTTACAGCCATACCATGTTAGAACGTTGTTAAGAGGCATGAAAAAATATTTGGAGCCAGTTTGTTTTGCAGACTTGCAATTTTAGCTTTAACTATAAAATGAATTTGTTTTCTACATAAGAGCCGCATACCAGTGAATTAGGCATAGGCCAGTAATTCAATAAAATAACAACAGTTTTGAGTCTTTCATCCATAAAAGTCCATTTTTTTCTGATTCTAGTTTGTATTTTCTAAATACTTACTATTTTCACAACACATTTAGGCTCAGGAAGCAACACCTACCAGCTAATTTTATGTTTTACCTGAATAAGTGAGTATTACACCAGCAGGCGTGACGATCACGAGAGGATGTTGACTTTAGCATGGGTATTTACCATTAAACCTGTGTGTGTCTGTAAGTGTGTGTGTGTGTATCAGTATACAGGTCTGCTGACTGTGATAATGAAATGCTGTATGTGGTAAAGACACATCTAGAGAGAAAGCCAGAGCTGTTTTCATTAGAATCGTGTTCCACGTATATCAGCCTCTCCTTGTTTTTATGGGTGACACAAAAACACGACGACAGATTTTCATCAACAGGCAAGCTGTGCGTCGTACCAGGAAGCGCCAATGCCTCCTACCATTTTTCTTTACCGTGTACAAACGCCATTGAGTGGCATACCTAAAACAGCCTCCTGTGTGAGAAACAAAGAAACAATCAGGACTTAATTCTCGCTGAAATTAGAGTCACTCAAGAAAGGCTTCGTGCTTCAGCTGGCAAATTGTTTCTGAATCTTATGTCATGGATTTCTTTGTTCAGTATGTTGGCAAAATCTTTTGACAAAGAAGAAACCTCTAAAAGTAAAGAGGAAGCTGAGTTTCAGTAAACAGGGAAAGGCAGCACAAGTCTTCTACTGTGCATTTAAATAAAGCTAGTGACCCTTAATCAGATGTGTGACACGCTCATCATCTCCGCTTGTGAAGTGGACGCCTGCTGCAGCAGAAGGTCCCGGCGGTAATGGTGTTATAAACGACTCAGCGGGAGTTTTCTGGATCACTGGCTGTGTTTTTGTCTCTCTAAACTTCACAAGATTTCAAATCTGATCTTAAAAACATCCAAATGTTCATGATCCACATCAGAGTGGGTTGGATAGAAGGTAAAGTTTTCATAATCTTTTATAGTATTGCATGTAACCCTGTGAATAGAGGCCATTTTACCATTTTTTGACAAAACATGTAATTCTCATTTGTTTGTGAAGAGCATTTAAAGAGGTATGGTAAACAATGCTCCAGCATTACATTACCTAACCCATCTGTAATGTGGCTTTATTTTGTTTAAAGGTGCAATATGTAAAGATGACATCCTGTGGTCAAATGTGGTTACTACAGTCCATTTTTAAAGCAAAAATAATACTCTCACTCCAGTTCCGTGTTTTTTTTTTGTTTTTTTTTTGGCTGTTGCCAGTTACCAGAAGATTCTAGCTGACAAGCAAAAATGGGTCATACATAGTATGTTGATAAGTAGATTAATACATTGTCACATCTGGTTTCAGCACTCTTGGGGGTTTTACGGTGGGGAGAACTTACTACACTTATTAGCATTGTTAGCTGAACGTTAGCCTCTCGCCTGTTTCACCCAATATTAGAGTAAAATAAAAGGATGCTGTGGCTTTATAGGGGTACAAAAATAGCTTCTGGGTCGCTCCTGTTTACTGGCTTTGGTTATATAAACAACTTACTCTGTGCATGCCGGTGTCGAATTACAAATGCTAGCGCTGCTGCGTTAGCTCACTGCAGATTTGGCAACCTCATAAACTCACTGACGGTTAACAGTACCTACGTCCCACTTCCATTAATTTGAAAGGATAAAACTGGCAATCACCCAGCCAGCTGAGAGTGAAATCTGTTTTGGTGTAACTTTCCTTCCAACACGATCGAGACATTAGAGTGTACTGTGATTATTTCACTGTAGAATTTTTAAATTTTGCATCTTTAAAATAAGAAAGATTTGATTTTATTGAAGTGGGAATTTATGGGTCTGACAGGAATTTAAATAAAACTAATTTGGAAAATTAGAGAGGAAATTCTCCTTGTTTTGCACAATGCTATTTACAAGGATGCTTGTGTTGATTTACAATAAAGTCAGACAATGATGAAAGATTGTTGCTTGTACTGCTGACGTACGTTTCAAACCACACAAAAAATGACACAGGATTGTTTGAGTCACAATCTGCTCAGACCACTGGTGTCCAGCCCTTTTCCTTCAGAGCCACCATCTTGCAGAATTTAGTGTTTTATCTGCTTCAACACATCAGAAGGTGAACATCGGACCTCCTAAACGGGTAATTCAACCCCTCAAGCTAGTGTGTTGGAGCCAAAACATGCTGGATAGTGGCCATTGAAGAACTTTAGTGTAAACTAGTGGCTTAGTCTTAATTTCCCACAGGAATTTCTCTCCCATTCTCTGATATCATTCTGACCATGGTCTATTGTAAATGACTACTCAACCTCTCCACATAAACTCCACTTCACAAAAGACTTTAATCATCTTAACCATTTGCCATACCTGAAATACTTGAATCTCTCAATCAACATGTGTGTTTGCAGATACCCCAAGTGAGCTACGCCTCTACGGCCCCAGAACTCAGCGACAACACCCGCTACGACTTCTTCTCCCGTGTGGTGCCTCCAGACACGTATCAGGCCCAGGCCATGGTGGACATTGTTAAGCACATGCGCTGGAACTACGTCTCCACGGTGGCCTCGGAGGGAAACTATGGAGAGAGCGGCGTCGAGGCTTTCATTCTGAAGTCTCGGGAGGACGGTGAGTATGCTTGTCCTCATATATCACTGCTCCTCGTGCCTTTGCACTTGAAAGAAAAGGACAAATGAATAGATGCGTTCTAAAAAAGGCTGACTAACTTCTATTCTTAATTAGAACTTGATCAAAAAAAGACGATATGTTGACAATAATGAGCCAAAAAGAATTTTACTAAAATAATGCAATAATATCAGATTTAACAGAAATATGGGACTGAAATGATTACAGACCTTTCTAATTCGGTGCTGCACTATATTTAGTTTTGAAAAACAATCTTTTAGGTAATTTCTAACTTTACAACTAATAGAACCTTTCCACTGCACATGTAAGTGGTATGTAACGCAATAGACACGTTTTACCCGCGGGCTCCCTTCCAACCAGGAGTGCTTCAGAAGTGAAACGGGAGCAAAAGTGGTTCACGCAGCTAGTCCTGCAAGATTACAAAATCAAGGAGAATTGCAACGGAGGTTTCACATGAAATGACATACATTTTTTAAGCAACTGGAAATCTGCACGACTTTTATTATGAAAGTTTCCAGATGTTTCACACTGCTTTTGTGTTTGAATTACAAAAAAAAAAAAACTTGACACATAAGCAAGGCCTCCCTACGCTTTGGGATGCATCCGAAACATGACGCTTTGCGACAGGTGGAAACACACCCAACTACTACAGCGCCAGCTAACTGCTGCAAAGCACTGCATTTATGGTTCTTTTTTAAAACACAGAAAAGGTTTATTTTTACCTTGCTGACAGTTTTAGCCTGGCAAGCCAGACTAAATAAATGTTTTATTTAGTCTGGCAACGCTCCATTGAAGGCTCTCGGTTGTGGGGCGGGTTCTACCGTTGTCTTTCAAATGATCTCCGCATGCTACTGGACAATGAATGTGACATACTCACCGCAACAGCTATTGGTAAATGAGGCGGTCCGCAGTTGAAGAAGGAGAAAACACATAATTGTTTCTAAAAAAAAAAAAACACTTAAATACATCTATCTGCTCCTGATTCTAATGGAGCCCAAGTTCTAATAATCCAAAATTGATGTAAAGCCGTTTCAAACAAGCTGTCGCCATCTTGTTTCACTCTGTTGCATCATCCCACCCACGAGGCATATAGAGTGTCCTGATTGGCCCACAAAGCGGATAAAGCTCTGTGATTTGTTTTACTAAGCAGATAGAGCACTATGATTGGCCCACCAGTATGGACCAATCACAGCTCTATTTGTGTTTGAAACCCCTCTAGAGAGCTGTGATTGACCAGCCAGAATGCTGTTAGGGGCTGCAGAGGTTCCAGTGGAGGGTTCCTAGACCAAACTTTGCAAAGCAAGAATTTGGTCTAGTTCACTAGGCTATGACAGTTTTGTTTACAGCTGTAAACTTCCTCAGAGCTGACGCTGATGGGTGTACTAGATGGATAAAGGAAGCCATAGAGATAAGGACACTTGGATACAAGACCATGAACAGTGATGATGAGGTTTACACATTGGACTGTGCATGGGACTGTGTCATCGGTGAAGGGAGAGCGGGCGGCAGTAGAGAGGAGGAGAGTGTTTAGTTTAGATCTGAATTTAAGTTAGTAATAAGAGGCACTGTTATAACTGCAAAATAGAAGCAGTCCATGAAATTTAATTTCAGTTTTGTCAAAAAAGTGGCTGAAAACATCAATAGTGAAACTGGAAAGCAAGTGTGTGTGTGTGTGTGTGTGTGTGTGTGTGTGTGTGTGTGTGTGTGTGTGTGTGTGTGTGTGTGCGTGTGCGTGTGTGTGTGTGTGTGTGTGTGTGTGTGTGTGCTTGAATTCCAACTTATTTACATCTTCTCAAAAGAATAAATTGGCTGCTAGTTGAACAGCGTCTGTTGCAAAAATGGTTTGCTTATAGCTGAGATTTAACATCACAAATAACACCTTGAGCATGTGGGAAACAAATATCTCAAGCAGAGAACTGGAGGTGTTTCTTGGACACTTTTCTGGCTGATTTGTGAGCTTTCATTCAAACTGTTGTGCTGAAGGAGATCCTGAGGTACTTCACTGTTTTGTTTGACTAAGTGTGAGTTAAATTAAAACAAAGGCACTATAAAATGACCCCATCACGTCTGTCTTCCACCGCGTCTGACAGGAAAGAGACTATTTTATTTGTTGTTGCTCATCGGTTCTGCCTGTCAGTCTGAACCTTTAATTATTTCAGAACGAGTCAGAAGAAGAGTGGAAAAAATTAATCCTTTTGAGCAAATATTTGCATGGATTGAGACGGAGAGGAATATTGATGGTGCACAATCTTAAACGTTGGTCGTTTTATTGGGATTTCGGACAGTTTAGAATGTACAATGTCTCCTAATAAACTGAATTCACTTTCATATTTGCAGACACAAAGACAGAAGATTAAAGTAAACGACATCTGGAAAAGCTTCTTTCTGTGGTTATACTTTCAAAGTTCTGTAATTCTAATACCCTGTCACCTGCAACAGTTAAACTTTTTGAGTAATGTTCCGTCAGTAATTTGCTGGAAGGTGCGATGCTAAAATGCCCCAGAAAGTCATTTTGCAAATATTATCTGCAGGTGACAAATACCACCTTCCACATCCAGCTGGGATTTATTACACATCACGCCAACAGATCCTTTCATCACTAAAAACTAATGAGGCGAGTTATGCTCATAAAAGAAGGTATGACCTCAGAGAAAGTTTTCCTTCTGCGGGATGTCGTCGGCTGTATAGGAAGAAGCTCTCTTCCTGCACAAAAAAGGGACAGGGATACAAAACAACAAAAGGCAAAACCCAAACTGGGCTCCGAGTCTAATCTGACTTGAATCTGCCTTGAAACGGCCCAGGGTGTGGGACTGAGTTTTGAAGGTTTCAGTTGCGCTGCAGCGGAGAGCGTCAGGCACGAATACAAAACAGAAGGTACCAGAGGATATGAGCGGACATGAATGATCGTGTGTTAGGTATGTTTTTCGGTGGCGCCGCTTAAAGAATGTTACTGGGGCCGATATATTCACACACAGGAGACTTCAACCGCTTCCTAGGTGGAAATGGAGCAGTCCCGATGGTTGTCGACACTGGTTCTGCTTCTGCTGCGTGTGCGCGTTCAGCTTCACATTTGCTTTTGTCCGTGTGGGTCGCGCTTTTGTCTTTTAGTTTTTAGTAGGTGATGCTGCAGATGTGTTTATGGGGGGTTAATCGGGGTTGATAGTCAAACCGGTTGATCCATGCAACCCTACGCAGAACGCGGTTGCCTGGAGCATATCAACAATCAGCACTCTCCATCCTCTTAGCTTAAAATAAGTCAAGGCATGCTAAGAATCCATATAAATAATGTAATATAGGTGGAAACAGGATCTTTTATCGGGCTTCCCATGAGTGTGTAAGGTGAGAGCTTCTAGGGGTGCCCATCACCCTTTCAGAGAAGACAGGCTCCCCTTAGCTCCCCTGTAATTCGAACCCTGGAGATAAAAATATTTATAAAGATCTTCAGTTAAGAAAAGCAAGACTTGGGTTAATAATCATATTTTAGTTGTTTTCTAGCTGTCTGGCTACATGCTGTTAGGACAGCAGATCCTCACTACAAAGGGCCAATTCCTCTTTATTCACAAGTCGTAACAAATAAACTAAAATGTCTCAAAAACTAAAACTCAGATCTGTCACATTATGACATTTATTCTGACGTTTTGAGAGAGAGAAGATGAAACCGAGGAGCTTGATGTATAATATGAGTTGTATGTAAAGGTTGGGTCGTTAAAAGAGTAAAAACCGATACTAATGTTTTCAGATATTATCTTTAATGCTAATAAGGGAAAGATTACTTAGAAAGCTTTAGAAAGTAATTTATTTATAAATTATAAATCTTTAATTATTTAGTGTTGTTTTACTTATACGTCTTGTGTCAGATCTGTTTATTTTATTATAATCAACAGTAACATTTCTAACAGATGTAATATATATATATATATATATATATATATATATATATATATATATATATATTTATATATACCAAAGTTGTGAGGGTTCAAACTTGGACACGTTTTACTTGAAATACTTAATTTTTGAACAAGCTGATATAATTTATATATAATGACAATAAAACAGAGTTTGTGGTTAATAAAAGACAAGAAAAAAGTATTATTTACAGTACTTTACCAGATATCATGTTTAAATGCCTTTTAAATCAACAGGAAAAGGGTCCAAAGAACACCTACAGTTCACTGCGTGTGATACTTGTGGGAGAAAAAGTGTTTCTCAAACACAACCTCTTGTTTTTTTGTCACCAAAGGCGTTAAATGGGATTTTGCACACGGTGCTGTCAAATCAGGAGCTACTTTTGTGTTGTAACCATAAATCAAGTATCCTGATATTCCTGTAAAATGCAGTAAATTCTGTTATTGCTTAATTATAGTTTCATTTCACTTTACATAGAGCAAATGAAAATAGGAAGATTGAAATACCATGTTTTTTTATACGTCTAGCAGAGATAAAGGATTTGTCTCATCACTGGGACCAAAATGTAAGACCTGAAAAACAGAAAGACAAAAAAATAAAAATTTAGCTTTGTTGCCCCTGAGGATTGAATGTTTACTTCTCCAGAATAAATGTCCGAAACAACATTGGTGTTCATAAATAGTTTAGTGGACAATCCTTTTTGTTTTGGTCAGATCTGCAGAGCTGATGTTTGTCCACACTGTCCACACCTGTGTCAGCTATGGTGTCTGGATAAGACACCCAGCAGGTCTGTAAACACACAGAATCAATATCTTTTGGTAAAACAAGGAGGGTTACAGTTGGACTGTGTACCATCTCAGCTCAAGTCTGAGCTGGTATCTCTGGAAACAAGACCAAACCTCAGACGTTCCCTGTAGCATCAACTTTGAGGAAAAACTATTTAAATCTTCTCTCCAGAAGTAGTCAGGATTCATGTCACCATTTGTTCTGCTTGGAAAATATTTTCAGCAAATTCAAACCAGCCTTCATATTTAAAGCTGATGTTTGCTCTGACCTCCCTTCTAAACAGATGT